GGTATATGTATTGATCAACAATGTTCACAATAAAATCATATAAGGTAATAACATTGTGAAACTTAATATAGCACTATCGGGAGGCTTGCTTTAGCCCATATATAGATCTTTTTAGCTTACAAACCAAGTGGCTATTTGTATCATCATAAAAAACCTTCGAGTTGATTCATGTATACCTCTTCATTCAAATTTTCATTTAAAAATGTTGTTTTCACACCCGTCCGATATAGCTCTAAGTCAAAATGAGCTATTAATGCCATTATTATTTTGAATGAATCTTGTTTAGAGATAGGATTTAAAATATCATGATAATTTATGCCTTTCTTTTACGTATAACCCTTAGCCATAAGTCTAGCTTTATATCGTTCGATATTACCAAAAGAATCTCTTTTGGTTTTATAAACTCCATTTGCAGCCAACGACTGCAGATCCCTTTGGTAATTCGACGAGGTCCCAAACTTGATTTTTATGCATAGACTCGATTTCTTCCTTCATAGCATTATACCATAAATTGGAGTTTTCTCCATTCATGGCTTTTGAAAATGATTTTGGATCATTCTTAAGTCTAACATCAAAGTTAGACTTTTGAAGGTATACAACATAGTCATTAGAAATTGTTGGTCTCCTTACTCTTGAAGATCTTCTTAATTTAACATCTTCATATGGGTTTGTCTCATCAAGAACTAGTTGCTCTTGAACTTGTTGCTCATGAATTGGTTATTGTTCAACATTATCTAATTGACTTTCTTGAACAATAACCAATTACCTTTTATCCTTATGCAACATAGTTGAATCTTGTGTTTCCTCAAATTCTATTCTTCGAGGAAAATCACTCCCACTAAGGCTAAGATCCCCAAGAAATTTAGCATTTCTTGCCTATACTATTCTTGTACTATGAGAAGGACAATAAAACCTATATCTTTTAGAGTTTACCGCATAACCAATGAAATATCCACTCGGTTGTTCTAGGGTCTAATTTCTTTAATTGAGGATTATAAATCCTTATCTCAACTAGACAACGCCATATATGTGTATGATTTAAACTAGGTTTCCATTCATTCCATAATTCAAAAGGTGTCTTAGAGATAACCTTGGATGGAACCCTATTTAGAATATACACAACAGTCTTTAATGCTTCACTCCATAAGGATAATGGTAAATTAGAATTACTAATCATGCTTCTCACCATGTCTATGAGAGTACGATTCCTTCTTTCAGCCTACACCATTTTGTTGTGGTGTGCTAGGCATTGTATATTGTGCAATAATGCCCTCTCATTTAAGGAACTTTGTAAATGGACTTGGCATTTATCATTTTTTAGTGTACCTACCATAATACTCTCCACTTCTATCGGACCTCATAATCCTAATGGTCTTTTCCTTTTATTTCTCTACCTCAACCTTAAAGGTCTTAAAAGTATCAAGTGCTTCAACCTTATCATGTAAAAGATAAAGATACATAAATCTAGAATGGTCATCAATGAATGAGATAAAATATCTCCGACCATTTAGGCAAAGAGTATTAAACGATCCACATATGTCAATGTGTATGATTTCTAAAATTTATGAGCTCCTCGTGACGCCTTTAGTAGTCTTGTTAGTTTGTTTTCCCTTTATGTAATCCACACAAGTACCAAAATCAGTAAAATTAAAAGCATTTAAAACTCTATCATTCACCAATCTTTTAATTCTTTCAAAGGAGATGTGACCTAATATCCTATGCCATAATGTGGAGGAATTCCCATCAATTTTACTCCGTTTAATACCTATATAAACATGCATTGATAAATAGTTAGCTCAAAAGTAGGGTGTATATCAATTTTGTATAAACCATCAATTAATGTTCCACCACCAATAGAAATTTTATTTTTTCAAAATAGTAAAATGTTTTCATTAAACAAAAATCCATAGCTAATACTACATAGTCTAGAAACCGAAATCAAATTTCTAGAAAATGATGGAACATAAAAAACATTTTCCAAATAAATCCAGATTTTAAAATTAATCTAAAAGTCCCCACAGCCTTCAACTTTAGAGCGCATTCGATTTCCCGAATAGATGTCTTCTTCATTTCCTTTCGGCTTCCTTAGGTCCGGAAAGCCCTACATGGTATTCACAATATGGATTGTAGAACCGAATCAATCCACCATGTATTATTAGGAGTCTCAATAAAAAAGGATTCATGACACACTAAAGAGATGAGTTTACCTTTCTTCATGAGCCACTTTTGATACTTAGGGCAATCTTTCTTAACATGTCCCCATTTCTTGCAAAAGAAACATTTACTATTATTGCCATTTTACTTTATAGGCATATTTTCATGTTTCTTCACTTTTAGAACATTTTTACCCTTCTTGGAATTTCCTTTAGCTTGAGAAACCAAATGAGCACTTTTAGATTTCTCAAGTTTCAATCTCCCTTCTTCTTGAACACATAAGGTCAATAATTCATTAATTGACTATTTTTCCTTATGTGTATTGTAAGAAATCTTAAACGGACCATATTCTGCAAGGAGAGAGTTCAAAATGAAATGCACCAAGAATGACTCGAAAATCTCTACCTCTAAGGACTTTAATTGAGCGAGCAGTTGTCCCTTATTTCCATAATGTGCTTGTGCACACCTTTAAAATAGTCAAATGACTTGTTAGAAAGCTTTTTCATTAAGGTGTCGGCCAATGCCTTATCGGAATGAATAAATTGTTCTTCTATGGCCTTCGAGAAATCTTTTGCCTTAGAGCATTTAAGGATTGAACCCCTAATACTCTTATTTATGCGAGACTTTATGGGTATTAAACTTAAGCGATTAGATCGATCCTACCACTCATAATTAGTCTTTTCCCGTGCATCACTTGAATCCGTGGGGATGGGTGGTTCATCCACACATAAGGCCAAGTCCAAATCCACACGCCCCAATGTAAAGAGAATATTTTCTTTCCAATCAGCAAAATTATCACCACATAGCATTGGAATACTAGATGTATCAATAAAAACAATAGGAAAAGCTACAATAACTAAGAAAAGACTTTAATAATATGAAAACATACTTTATTTAAATTAACCAATGTCAATTTAATAGTAAATTCTAACCTTCCTATGGGTAGAGGTTGCATCATGCATAAAATTCACTAGTTCTTTAATAATAAAACTAATAAACAAAATATCAAGAATAAAACAATATTCACACATGAGGGCCTAGATTAAAATCCATTCTTAATATCGCTTTATTATCTTATTCCATTTAAATCATAAAAATAGCAACCTCCCCGTATGGCCAAGTTATTATTTTTATAAAATAATTACAAATTAAGCTATGTACTTTATGAGCATATTAATTTAAAAAACTTTAATATGATCATCAAAATAACTTAAGATGCTATGACTATTCTTGAGTTAATTGACATCATCATCTTAACATAGTGTTGCTTTAATATCAATTGAAAACTTTATATTGATATACCTAAATAATCATATTTCCTTGAATTTATATATAATACACTATGCATAACTTGAATTGATAATAAAATATCATTAAAATATAATAAGCGGCCATTCCTTACGCATGCATGCATATGCTGTATTAGCTTGTTATCATTATTTTAATCTAATAAAAGAAAACAATGCTGGATGATATATACTTATACACATGAGATGATATTTGGCCTGACTAACTTTTGTACGCTAGCTAAGCACATGGTGTGCTGTTACACCATCAATTATCAGCGCCTCTTCGTCAAGTTCTAGAAAGGGGAAAAAAAAAATCGCTTGGTCATTCGTACCAAACAATCCATTCTTACGGATCAATAATATATATTTGATTTAAAGATTTCAATTAAATAACCATACCATTATTTACGACTTTTCTATAAAAAAAATCATAATTTATCATCAATAAATATAATTAATAAATTTCTATTAACACTATTCAACATAGCAAGAAGGAGGCTCGATACCATATATAAGATAATTAAATATACCTAAGCATATAAGTGCAGTAAAAATTAATAAGATACATATCTTTTGTTATGATTGATTAAGTGCTTAAGATATTGCTGAAAGAAAAATGAAGCCACCAAGAAGAGAAAGTCTTCTAATCTATGCAAATACTTTAGGATTTTGTGTGATGATAGAAAACACGGACTTTACTTACTATTTATATGGTTGAACTAGAGACTCTTTCTTTAACTTAATTTTGCATCTCTATCTATTATGGATGTGCCTAGCTCACCATTAAAGTCCATTAGGCTCTACGTCTTTAAATTATCACTTATAGATTTAAAATAAAACATAACACATGAGCTACATTATAGGAATATTTCTTACATAAAACACTTGCTCTCATCACAAGATAAAATTTTAAGATAATGAAAACACGTATGTATATAAGTATCTTTACCAAAAAATAAAATAAAATAACCATAGGAATAAATTACTTTCACTTATCGCAAGATAAACCTTTGTCAAAAGTTATGATTCATAGGAACACAAATTACTTCCTCTCTTCGCAAGCAACAAATTCATATAAAATTTATAACTTAAGGCAAGTAGGTGACAAAAAATGGAAACACAAATCAACAATCTTATAAAACTTCTCTTTTTTTTTTTTTTTTCCCTCAATCAAGGAGAAAATTTTAATTGGTTATGAGTTAAGCCTACGAGTATAAGTAAACTGATGTTTTCAAAATGCATTTTTCCCTAATTAACATCAAATAAATGTTTTTTTAATTAATTTTGGATGAATTTAATATAAAGATGTTAAAACCATTAAAACGTACTAAACATTCCATGTTTTTTAATACAGTTTAAAAACAGTTTTGCAAAAGCACTCTCTAAAGAAATTTATACTCAGATAAATTCCACACTGGTGACTGCTATATATTTAGCTGTAAATAAGTAACAAGATATTTAGTAGTTGAGATTGAAAATATTCAAAAGGAGTCCTAGTAACCAGCTAAACAGACTTGCTTTTGGTTTTTCTAAAACACTTGCTTTAATAAACAATGTTCACGAGTGTGCAAATGCATTTCCAAAGCTCCCTGTCTGTTCATCTACATCAGATGGGTCTACATGATAGAAGATAGGTAAAACGATTTGCCCATATTTCATCTTGCATTCAAGTATCTTCACCAATTCATCCACGCATGTACCATGAAGAAGATGCATAGCCTACTGAGAATATTATGACTGAAATTCTTGATTCTTCAATTGTCCTCAAAATTGCAGGTGTAATTTCTTCTCCTCTTTCAAGTTCATTATCTATGAAGGTCTTGACTCCTTTACGACACAAAGCATCATAAAGATGGCTAGTAAAATTATCACGAGTGTCTTGTCCTCTGAAACTAAGGAACACATCCTACTTCTGTCTAAGAGTAGAGGAAGGAGAAGAAGCCATATCAACAGTTACAAGATTATTTTCTGACAAAGCAAAACAGTTCAGAATAGAATCAACAAAGGCACTCCTTTTCCTAATTAAAGGAAACCAGGAAATCATAATTGCTGAACCATAAACAACAAGAGCAAAATTTTACAAAAGAGTAAAATTGATGATTAAGATAAAGCCAACAACTGAACTTTAACAACCTAAAAATAACAACAAAATAAATAAACTGTAAGAACCGCCCAAACATATCCACAGATTCCACAACTAGTTGATGAGCAAATGGACCTCATGATGCATCTTCAATGTCATTAAACAAGTAACCGGACCTGTCCTTGTACTGGGTTCTATTATTTATTTATTTATTATTATTATTTTTTCCATTGATAAAAGTTTAGACAACCTTAGTTTCAATGTCATTCTATCCTTTGACCAAAAACATGCCAACGTATAAACACCAGTTCCAGCCAACCAAAAAAGTAATCATAGTTTTGTAGACTATGAATCTGACCGTTAAAAAAAAAAAAAAAAATTTTAGGCTGTCCAGTCCATCTCAATTTAAATATAAAAGTATGCAGCATAAATGACGAGTCAAATTTGAATACTAAAACAACAAATATATTGATCAAATAACACGTGAACCAAAAACCCATCAACAAGTCCATAGTTGATCATACAACCGAAGTACTAAACTGAATAAAAAAAAAGACTTGAGCTTCACTTACAGTTAAAAACGAAACCCAAAGACAGCAACGTTTGTTTCAATCAGCCAACAACGCCAAGCAGAAGAAATTGTTGAACTTTTTCTAGAATTTCTCTGATCTCTCTCCATTTCAACCATTGGTTCAAAATGATTAAGAAAAAAAAAAAAGTGTTTAAATCCGCAAAAGATAAAACAATGGGCTTGAGAGAGGAGTAGATTATATTCAGGAAACAGAGGCCCAATGAAAGATGATTCATTTGGGCTTTTTTCCCCCTTTCCTTATGATAATTTGTCACACGCTATTTTACCATTTTATTCCTGCAACAACAATCTCACCGCTATCAAGGAGTCCTCATCTTGGTCATCTCCTAACATCACACTAGAAACAAGACTCCGTTTCAACAAGGTTTTTTCCATTCTCTGCTTCTGTTCTCTCGCGAGGTTTGGTCATATCAGGTTCTCTCTCTACACACACACACGAAACTCTTTTGTGCAGTTAAGAATGTTGATTCTGGTCTTTCCTTTGTTTTTGACTAATATTCAATCATGGGTTTTGTTTTTTCTTTGGCCCTGACCTTTCTGCTGGTTCTTGTTGATGTTGTGGTTTTCTCTATTCTCTCTATTCAACTTTATATCTATGAGTTTTGTGCATAGTTCTGATTTTGGTGTCCGGTGCATTGGGTGAATCGCGAAGCACTTGTACTACTTAGTACACGTACTTTAGAATCTTGGAGGAATTTGAATGTGTAATCCTAGTGGCTGGTGTGACCTGCGCAATTTTGATAATTCCTTGCCAATGAAATAACATTGTGTTCTTAAATTCATTTCCAAATGGCTGCCAATTGTCTATAGCCTTGTGTTATAATTTCTATACTAAACTTCATGCTGGATGCGGATACACTGTCATCAAATGAGAGTTGAATATGGGCCTGAACTTTGCTGACAAAATTTATCATGAAAGCATGCTTTTGTTCTATCATTCTATTCACTATTAGTCTATATAGGTTACAAGCAGAGCATGTTATCCGAAGGACTGTTACAGATTAAAATGTAATTGCTGAACTCTAGATTGATAAAAATTTATTAACTTCGAGTTGCTTCTGGTTCTCTTTTTTTTTTTTTTTTTTAAAAAAAAAAAAAAAAAACAAAAAACGTAAATGAATTGACTATAAGATCTGCAGGATGGATCAGTGGTACTAGTTTGAGGTTTGTGAATTGTCATAAATTAATGTCATGGACTGAAGATTTGTTCACGATTTTTTGTTATGGGAGGAAGATGTCACATTTTCAGGCTTCACGTGTGACATCCATTGCTGCTCCTAAGGTCCTTTTATGAGTTATGCAAGGTCATTGAGAGTTTGGTTGAGAAATGGAAGGTCCTGTTATGAATTGTGCAAGGTCAATGAGAGTTTGGTTGAGAAATGGAGGGGTATGCCAAAGCTGGCATAAATCCTACGCAATGGAGTGACAAAGTTGAAGCAATAGAGTCTGAACTTGCAATTCATGATGCGAGATCAGATATCACTTAGTAAATGTGTGTATATACAAGAATAAGTCTAGCCAAACAATAAGTTTTGCTGAGTTTGCTTGGTTTTTACCCACTTGGTGGCTGAAGCTGAAACTCTACAAGCTGTACTGTTGAGCAGTTCTTGAGATTTAGCCCACTTGCGTTCGACAGTGACACTATGTGTGTGAATCACTAGGTTGGGGACAGGGTTGATGTTATGAATTGTACTCAAACAAAATCTCCTGTGATTGCTTGAAGTGTGAATGAGATGATTTTTGGAAGATGAGGCCTTTAGACAAGTATTTCTCTTGTGATTATTAGAAGAAAGCAGAATTGATGAAACCTACAGGTAAATCAGAATGTGATAAGTTAGAGGCCTTGCTTTTGGATTTAGCTAAACCTTGCTCCTTGCATTGTGGCCAGTGGGACCTGCCTTGGTAGGAAGTTTGATAGTAATTTGAAACCCAATATCATAACCAGAATCTGTGTCATAGCTGAAGACATGAGCGAAGGTGTTAAATAGAGCTTTGTCATGGATAGGAGTTGTGAGGAGTGCTAGAAGATCCAATCTCCAAAGAAACAGTAAAAGCTGAAGGGCCTCTAAAGGGAAGCCAATTGGCAAGTTCTTTAGGAAAGCATTTTGGCAAAGGCTACCTTATAAAAGTAGTGAACCTTGTCAACATGTGGCACGTATTGTGTGAGACAGACTTTGTATAGTTTAGAGCATTCATTTTAAGTTTGGCAGAGTGGGACCACTGGATTAAAGATTGTCCCATGCTGAGTAAGTAGCGACTAGCCTTGGAGTTGCAGAGGCTAAAAGTGCAGGGAGAGTCTTCTCCGTCACTCAATAGGATAACAGGCTGGAATTCTTTTCAGAAAGCTTGAGTTGTTTTCTGATTGAAGTTTTCCCTGCTCCTTACGGTCACAAGTTTCCTTCAAGAGTTACATAGAAAGAAGATCTGAATCTCTAGACTATCTTGTTTGTTTGCAGCCACACCTGTTGAAGAAATCAGATTGGATTTTGAAATTGAAATGGGCAATAAAATTTGAAGGTGGTTTAGGCTAATTTAGGAATGCAACCCATAGTTCCATAGTTCTTAATCATTGTGATTGAGTTGGTATAATAATCAGTTAGAGGTTAGAGTTTGAGATACTAAATTATCAAGAGGGGTTAGCCTTGTATTATGAAGGAACTGGATCTAGAGACAGGATAGAAATAAAACAAAATAATCCATATTTATTTGAGTTGTTTGGCATGACATGTTAGATGGCTAAAATTGCCATCTTTTTGGGAGGGTTGGTTGGTAATGGAGAATCTAATAGCCCTTAATTTTCCATTCTCAACTGTACTAAAGCATTTGTGTATGTAATCTGCTATGTTAAATCTAGATGAAGTAGGGAGGGCATTGCTAATGGTTAACAAGGTTCAGTTCATCAATAAGAGTAAAGAGAATAATGGGTTTGGATTATGTCATTCTTACACTATCCAAATCACATTAATTTTGACTGAGGTTGAGTTGTTTTAGGTTGTAGGTTAAATATGATGTCTCATCATTCAAGTTATAAGCATATTTCTTTCATGAGCATGTACACTATTGCAGCGTTCTTATCTCAAATTTAAAGTAATTTGGTGTGAGTAATATTCTTCTGCTCCTTTTTTCTTAATGTTTTCCTGTACCTGCCGTCAATAAACTTTAGTGCTTGTGACTATTTGAAAACTGATATTGCAATGTTGTTGCTGCAGAGGCATGTTTCATTTGCAGTAATTCATTCCACTTTACATTTGCAATAATCCATTGAACTCTACTGCCATGGATGTTATGGAAATTAAGACGGGAAATGCAGATGCTGAATGTGTGGGAAGTGAGAGTTCATCTGTGAATATAAAGGTCTTGTTCTTTGCTAGAGCTCGAGATCTAACCGGCTTGACCGATATGCCATTAGAGGTGTCATCTGGTAGTACCACCAGTGATTGTTTGAATAAGCTTGTTGCTAGGTTTCCTGGGTTGGAAGAGATCCGGGGTTGTATAGTTCTAGCTTTAAATGAGGAATACACCACTGAGTCGTCGATTGTTAAAGAAAAAGATGAGTTGGCAATCATACCTCCCATCAGTGGAGGCTAAATATTCTGGTAAGTTTGTCAGATTTAGTAATAACCAAAGAGCTCCTTTGGATGATTACTTGATCATATAGGGGTCTAACACAAAGATGTGAAAGCTTTATGATATCCTTTGTATGTTTTGTAACTGTACTGAAGAAGTCTTCTCAAAATAAATTAGAAATCAATCCTCCTTTTTTGAACTGGAATGAACTGTTATATCTTCAAGGACGCTTTGTAGGACGCAGATGCTGAGCCAGAAATTTTAAATTTGTCTTCAATTTTTTTTTCCATTAGCCCAAACCTTTTCTCCATGTTGTCTATGCTGATTGATGGTCTTTTGATAGATTCCGTGTACGTATGTACTAAAGATACCTGAACGCTATACAATAAAGAGAACATGGAACTGATGGAAGGAGGTTTTTAACAAACCCTAACTATTTCGTAATAGTTATAGTGCAACATGCAACACTAGTTTAATTTCTCTAACCATGCCAGTAATTATTAATGAAATGTCAAAAATGCAAAATTCGAGCAATAAACTACTTGCAAAGCATTTTCTAGGTGTACAAAGTCTACAAATCCAAAGCATGAAACTGGGATTAATAATATCGGATATGAATATTATAGTACTAATGCACGCTAAAATAAAAAACTTCAAGTACCTACAGGTAGTAGTATCTGAAATGGCCATTGATGGGGTTATAAATAGGTTGGATGTTGATCCGAATTTGATAAGAATCCGGTGTAATTAAATAAATTTGATATATATATATAAAAGTACAATTATGATTCAAATCCATTAATCCGATTATTAAATGGATCAAATTTGGATTTATTTTGATGCAATCCAATAATAATCCAATCCGAAATAAAAAATAATATTTTATAAATATTAAAAATTTAAATATGAAACTAGGTTGAACTTTAAATGATGCATATCCATAATGATGATTATAGTTTTCAAAAATTACATATAAGTTTCTTGTCATTTTCTAATCTTTATCCTCCAAAGAAGTCAAAACTAGGACAATACTTAAAAGAGCTAGTATGTCATAGAACAAACAAGTTTGATATTTTACAATAATAAAAAATCAATTGTGATACATTTTCATTGTAAAAATTGTTTGCTATGTTCTAGCTGTTTCAACAATTACTGTTGCTTTCAAAATGCATTTAGTATGGACATAGAGTTATTGATGATTATTGTGTATCTTGATTGATTGACTTTCAAATAGAAATAGAAAAACCTATGGTATTTCATTTACTTAAACTCATTATATTTTTACTCTTTATGTATTAATCAATTATTAAAATTATTATTATTATTTTTTAACGTGCTTATATTTTGTCATAATAGAATTGTTATGGAGTTGAGTAATGAATATATTCAAAAGTTATTGTTCCATTTGTTTCGAACTTCATTGTAAGAATCATAGCATGTGGAACCAATCTTTTATGAATTGGAATCCATTTTAGTATTTTTAATGTTATACATAATAGTACAAACTAATTGAGATGGTAGAGTTAGAGAATAGAGTGTTTTGTATGAACTCTTTTATAACACTTAAATCTCTAAATTAAATCATTTTTTTTAGTCATCTCACTTATTGAGAAAAGATATAGAAACAAGTAGTTGGAGATTAGAATTTGAGATACTAAAAAATAGGTATTATTAAAGATTCCACAAAAATGAATTTAAAGAAAAGTTAAAAAATAATAATAATAATACAATATTAGTACTTATTTAATTATATGAAATTATAGATATTAGTAAAGTGCTTATAAATTTTTGTACTTTGTTAACAATATATGATAATATTGATAGATTTTTTTTTTCAAACCTTAATTTGCATCATTATCATCTTAAAATTTGAATTAAGAATCATTCATTTTGCTACCACATGGACAAAAAATAAAAATTATTTATTATTATTATTATTATTATTATTTTAGTTTTATCATTCTTTTTGCTTAGTTCAAAACAACTTTTTATTAAAATTATTAGATTTTGTGTTTTTGAATCATGTAGCATTTTGATTTTTTTGCAAAATTAATAGTTAAAATATTATCTTAATATATTTTATTATATGTTGTGTTTGAAAAATCTCTTATATTCAAACAATATATTAAATATAGTAAGTATAAATTTTCTACAAAAATCAAACAATAAATTTAATTGAGCTCCAAATCCAATCCAAATTCATAAGATTCAATTAGATCCGATCTATTTCATTAAACAAATCGAATTGGTACTATTATCATCCAATTCAAATCTAACATGTCGAGAACCCTACTCATTTGACCACTGCATTGAAATGTAAGACATATGAGCTAAAAAAAACTCGTGTCTAGTTCCAATTGCACCAAGTGGCATCAAATTCTCATCTTTCTAGACAACCACTCCATGCGTCGATCATCTGGACATGCAAAAAAGTTCCAACAAAATTAGGATGAGCCACAAGCCAGTCTACCACATCCAAGAAAAATTTACCTTCCAATCCCATTTTCTTCATTGCTTCAAATATTCCTTCTTCTGTCCTAACTAAGTGGAATGGCGATAAAATAGCTTTTGCAACTTCCCTCATTGCATTAGCAAAATCTTTGATCTCCTCAACGAGTGCATTTGCCATTGGGGCCTTTCTTTTCACAGCCCTTCAGGAGGATGATCGTGATAAAAAGGTTGGCCTCTCTAAGCAAGACATCTGTTGATGAATGCAACGCAAGGAAACCAAATAACCTGCATAGGCTACCATTGCTAGTACTGCTTTTCTTTCAAACTGTCTCATATTGCCTACAAATTAAGATTTACGCACAAGATATCAGGATTAAAAATGAGGAAAAAAAAGTACTTAAAGCAACTTTTGGCATCAAAAGGCCATAAAATGTTGGAAATTAGTTGTATAAAGCAAATTTCTGATGTATCTGATCTGCCAATATCATTTTTTTCCTTCTAGAAGACAGTATGTAGCCCATCAAAAGCCAATATTAGTGCCACTGATTTGAACAGATCCTGTAAACTTCCTCATGGCAATTGAACCCAGGTGCAAAAGGGATAGCTCAAAGCCTCAATCATGCCAACTGAAAATATCAAATTACACAAAGGTTCCCATAAATTTAAAGCCACAGAAGAATGAAGTGCATGCTGTCCACGAAGTTACTTATACTGATAATCTTCAAGACCAAAAGCATCAAACAAAGATACATTCAGACACCATAAAAAGCAAATAGAAATGGAGATCGACATACCTGTCAGATGGGATGAAGAGCAGAGCTGTGGCTTTGTAAAACTCGTTGCTGTGCACGAGGAGCAGAAATGAAAATATGGAGATAGGGGATTGTGAAAGAACAAAAAATAGAAGCAACTGAACTTTTGTTCTACTTTGGTGATAAAACGACTTGTTATCTGTGTGACTTATTATTATTATTATTATTATTCAAGTTTGAAGAATTCAATACTACGAGCAAAAATTCTTTCCTAACATGAGGATTGACTGAAGAATGAATTCAATTCTGGCTAAATCCCCATGGTTCAAAAGAATAAAAGAAAACCTCAATTTCTAAAAGGCTGTACATGAAATCTTTTAAGCAGACAGCCTTTGTAATTTGATAGCTGGGAATCAACTTGTGGACTAATTCTACTCCACCACAAATATCCTCTTAACCTGACTGTGTTATTTCCTCCTCGAAACTAAGGCACGAAAATAGAGAGTATTGTTTGAAATTCATAATGCTAATGAAAGCAAAATCTATGATACTAAATCTTAATTTCCACAATTGTTAAAGCATCTAGGCCACTTCTAATTGTTGAGTTATTGATGTTTTTAGGATCCAAAATCCACACTTCAAAATAACAATTGTTAAAGCATCTAGGCCACTTTTAATTGTTGTTTCCCCTTCAAAGAACAGTTGACTAAATATCTTTAACATTTGCACTTTGCTCATAACAAAACTAAATCTTAATTTCCACAATTTTCTCTATTGCACTTATTTCTCAAAAATTGGCACCCAAAAGGGCACATCTAAGCAAGTATTTCCTTTATGAAGTAAAAGAAAAAATCAACAATCAGCTAGTTAGTTGATCATTTATGGTCACCAGGGCCCTTCTTTGCTTCTCAATCCGTTGAATCCACAACTATCACCACTTCCTTTTCAGCCACATTTGATTCTGATTCTTTCGCTGCCTTTTCCTTCTCCAATTCTTTCACAGCTTCTTCTTTAGCAGCCTTCTCTGCCCGTAAAATTGGCTCGTAATAATCGGCATGAGCCTCAATACATTTCATCAAGGACCGAGTAACCTCATGGCACTTCTCCACCATATCCTCCTTGCTATCCTCTGCCTCCTTGATGCAATCCTCCCATGCTATAAATGCATCTTTGCACCCACCTCCCTTCATGTACACACAAAACGCACACTCTCCTTCCTCTTCCTCTTCTTGACCTTCATCTCCATTGGCATCAGTGAGTTTCTTTGATTGATCTGATGCCTCAGAAGTTTCGGTGGCAACTGAAGAATCTGCCGAGGACATAGGAAAGTTTGATGAGGTTGTGGATGAATTGTGATTATGGGAATTGTCAGGAACTGATGAGCTCGGCGATACATCGGATTTATTAGAATCAGTAGAGTTTGCTGTTGAAGAAGATACACCTCCCATGGCTGATTAAAACCTTGCAATAACCCTTAGATAGGGCTCAGTGACTATTTTGAGGATATTTATTTCTTTTCCTTTTCTATGGCCAAACAAATGAAGGGAGTTATGGATTATTTGGAGGAGGCACATTCACTCACACACTGAAAAAATAAATAATTTCTACTAAGCTAGAAAACAAATACAAAACCCCACAATCTCTTGCACCTAAATCTTTCTCCTGAAAAAAATACACAAGCTATCATCAACAAATCAAATCTAAACCACTAAAAAAGTTCACATGTAAAATGAATATGATAAGATTCATAAGCATTTGTGTTACAGCCCTGTTTACCAATTACATCTACTAAATGCTAAAACCAATCCAAAAACTAAAATATATCACCAAAAACAGAGTAAATTGCATTTTGAAAACGATGCAAGGGTCTTGGAACTACACACTCTATCATATTTTAGGAGCAAGAACCACATCTTACTCCCATAAAATTCGAGTTTATAAGTTTAAATTCATTCACACACATGAAGAACAATCATCACAGACTCAAAAGATCCAGGAAGCTCAGCAGCACAAAGATAGAAAGGCAATGATCATTTTAGTAAACACCTTGTAGGAAAATTGCATCAAGCACTTATTGCAACAATTGAAATTGCAATTTCACAAATCTCATAAATTCACCCTACAATAATTTACACACAAAATGATAATCTACATCCCTCAATTTGAGTTCAAACTAATGGGGCTAAACTTAAGGATTGGCTTCTGCTAGCAAAGCCCAGAAAATATGTCACATTTACATGTAAGAAAACACCAACAAATTTCAAAAGAACGAAACGTTAGTAAAAGGTACTAATTCCTTAACAACAATAACATTGGACCAATATCAGAAAAATTTGTCCACAACCAATGTAAGATAATCAACGTAGAAGATTAGGTCGCATACTTATCGGGTGTGTTTCCCGGCGAATCGACGGAGAGGAGGAGTGTTAGGGTTCTTCAGTGGCAGCATAAGAGGAAGGGTAAACGAAGTCTAAAGAGCTTATATAAAGAGGGGTAGTATTGTAATATTGTTAATTTCCTGCTGACTTACTGATAAAAACTAGCACGTGTTGAAATCATCCTGCACCGATACTTTTCGTCTAAGCATCAAACCGGAATTGGGATTTCGGTGGCAACAATCCGGTTATTGGTGCGTTTGGTCACTCTACTCTTAATTTTGCTTCACTGTGATTATTTTATGATTTTTTGTTTTAATGTCACCCCTCCACTCAAGAGGAAAATGGTAATACCTGTAAAATTGGTGCTTTTGCTAGGCTATTTTGATTTCTGTACTCCGATTAATTGCAACCATTTTAATGCTAGATCTACTTGGCATATGGATGTTTAAAGAGTTTACTACATTTTTGCTTTTATAGATTTATTTATTAATATTTCATTTCCATCCTTATAGTTTAAAAATTTTAACCTTACCCTTACAATTTTTTTAAGGATTCTATTTTACCCTCTACTGCTAGCTTTTTTTTTTTTTTTTTTTATCCCACAAGCCATATAAATGAGATAAAGCATGAAAGTGAACAAAAGCCACTTGGAGAAAAAAGATTAGGGATCTACACTAACATTTATTGTAAAAGACAATAACTAAAAGAATAAATGCTCCTAAAAAATCTATGCTCTCCTCACTAATTGTAGAAATACACACTAATTGATTTAGACTGTTAGTACTAACTAATTAATAAAATCTAACCTTTTCACATTTTTATTTTATTTTTTTCGAACTTTTCTCTCATTATCAAGTCCATATGTATGTATGTGATAATATATTACGAAATAATTAGAAACCTAAAAAAAAACCCTCAAGAACTAAATTTAAAAAATAACTTATTTAATAGTTAGGGTTAACATTGAAACTTTTAGAAAACTAGAAAAGTAATATTGAAAATCTTTACACTATAAGGATAGAAGAAGAACATTGTTGAATCTATAGGGCAAGATTGAAATTTACTCATTTTCATACTAAATTGACATACACATATATATAATTATCCTATTTTAATTTTTTTAATTTTTTAATTTTTTACGTTCAACGAGTAAGAGTTTCCTCGGATCGGTTATTGCGGATATTAAGATCAATCTCTCCTAGGATTTGGTCAAAGAGAACTTCCTAACGCACACCTTCGGATATTTTAAAAATAAATTTTTGAAAATATTGATCACAAAAATAGAACTATAGACCTATGTAGATATATATCATGTAAGTTTAAAAATTTATTATTATTATTATTATTATTTTATGAAGTTAAGGATTGTTCGTATAAAAAATGTAGACATATATCATGTAAGTTCAAGAAATTATAAATTAATTTTATTTATTTTTATTATGTTACAATCTTTATTAGTCGTTCTATATCTCAAAAATACAACAATAGAACTTAATCAAATATTATTCAAACTGCTTTAAAGATTTATAAATATAACATTGGGACTACTTACTAAATACTGTTTTCTCCTCACAATATATAATAGATGCACTCAATAATTTCTTGTCATTAATGCTAGCACTGTTTGTTAGACAGGACATTTAACCAGCCCTTTCTCTATGACAACATCTTTGATTAGCTTAAGAGATTCTTCAAGATCATCGCAGAGTTGATGAGGATCAGGAACTCTCTCTTCGTCAACTGATAAGATGATTTTCATTTTGTTCGCATAACTCACAACATGAATCATCAGTGCCTGAAACCAAATAGAAATGTTACCAATATTAAACTCAGAATAGTCGCATACAATTTCTTTGAGAGATTATGAAGATAAATCTTCATATTCCCATGTCCTGAGGATAAATTTTTTAGGCTTAATTTGTATGTTTCAAGTTAGAGGTGATTTGCCACTGGAGCGCTATTATAGAAAACTTATGAATGAGTGTTGGCAAATGTCATGTTAAATAAAATATTATCATTATATCAATCAATGAACGATTCAAAGACAAAATTATAGTGAATTACGATATATATATATATATATATATACACGTTTTTGCTTTTTCGGTAATAAAAAAGCTAAAAGCTGAGGAAAATATAATAAACTACAAACACACAAAACGAAAAATAGCAACCTCAATAACATATTCATACACAAGACTAGACTTTCCTACGAGTGAAAAATGAAAATAAGAATTAAAATTAACCCCTTTATATCCTAAAGTAGACCATTTTTAATTTATTTTAAGTGTCAACATCTAATTGGTCAACAATTGGTCAATTGATATCGTTAGTCCAAAATGCTTTAATTCATGTGATAAAGAGATTAATCATAGCTTCTTTTTCTTTTTTTCTTTTTTATGTTATTTATATATATAGATGAAATCGATTTGGTGTAATATTATATGTGATTTTAATCAATTAAAATAATGAAAAAAAATACTTCTTACAAAATAAAATGTTAAATCATTAGATTTTTTATTAGAAAAGAATTCATTAAATTTAAATAGAATGTTATGATAATCATCTTACTTTATGGATATAGCTAGGCATATGATTAGTTGATTTTTGTTGCTAGTATTGGTTTACCCGTAGACATGAGAGCTGGTACTTACATTAGGTTGACCATAGCAAGTGGGAGCTATGTAGGCCACTTGATGGCCAAAACAAGTGACTTCTTCCTGAGGACCAGGCACATTCGAGAACCACAAGGTAGTTTGAGTTGGAAAGCTTGCCAACTGCGACCATGAGGAAATTAAAGGAGTTCGTTAAATTTACATGAGACTACAAAATCATTAATTAAAGCCTTGAAAGGAAGATATCGATCTATATATATATAGTACTAACCTTTGTGCCAAAGAATTTGAGAAAAAACTTTGCCATGAAATATGTGCATTTAGCTTCAAGAGAAGCTTTCTTCCTCTTCCCAGTTGCCTTAGCGCTGCGAACATATTCTAAAGGATCCTCTCGCAATGCAATTGTAAAGGGAAAAAGAACATAACCGATCATGTTGCCCAACTTCACTTTACTACTACTTTCCATCATGTCAGAAGCATCCTAAATTAAACAATAATAATAATAAAAAACAAGTGAGCTACGTACGTTAATACCAATAAAGTTTAGCTTAGTCTTAATAGGTTTTTTTTTTTTTTTTTTTATCCTCTCATGTTCTTAATCTCATGATTAATTTTTGGATTAGGTAGGAGAAAAAAAGGTAGTAGACAGTTAAATTATTGTCATTCTTAATTATTATAGGTTAAATCATGTTTATCCTAGGCAAAACATAGAAATGAAAAGGAGCAAGGTGCTTTCTTCCAAATAGAGAAAACAAAGAAGTTGTAGTGCTCACTTGGTTTCCTAGATATGGCCTTAAATTCACGAAACAAGTTGCTCTTAGACGAATGTTCTTTGGAAGATTGTTATTTCCTTCTGTCCCTCTTCTACCCTTCTTGTTCTTACCTGCCAAATTAAGAATTTTCCATGCCGAAAATGATCTAAGATAACAAGCAAATTAAGAGTACTTAAGAACTTATACATAACTAATTTAATTAGTTCTATTTTTCACATTCTTAGCATATATATATATATATATATATATATATATACTCTAGCTAAGATCATATTTTAGATAATTCTTATATGTGTAGCTGTATACATATTTATTATGTTTAAAGAATATAAGTTCAAATTCCATGCCAAATTAAGTAAATTTGGCAATGAATTTAAATTCAGAAATAGCTCACCATATTTTCTATTGAGATAACGAGATAGAGCTGCTTGTGTGACTGCCACCATCACATCGTTGATCGTCTAGCAAAAAAATACCAAAAAATGTTAGGAATATTAACCTTTTGTAAATTTACATGCCAAACATACATTGTTAATCAACTCCTTTATTATTTTTATCTTAATGAGAATCCATAAGTTTAAATTAAAAGCCATTAAAAAATGATATGAAAGAAAATACAATTAAAATTACAGATACTAGAACTAGATTAGAAATTCTTCTTGTCCGTTAACACTATCTCTAGCTAGATTATTAGCTAAAATATTTCTTACTAGATTCACTCTATCAAAACAAATATATCTTGACTTGCTAAAACTCCTTTATTATTATTACCCCTCAAAAAAAAAAAAAAAAAAAAAAAAAAAAAAAAAAACATTAAAATAGAGCATAACGAATTGGCTTACAGCTTTCATAGCATTTTTCACCAGCTTAACATCATCCAAACTCACAGTTCGATGAACAATCCACCGAGGAGTAGATCCAACGCCGACTGGACCTTTGAGGGGTGTTTTTGTATCCTCCAAGAAGAAAATTGTAACGAAAAACATTACAACATCAACTAGAGTATTCCAATACATCACCAACAACAAAAAAACCTTGTTGAAATTTTGGAAAAACCCTCCACTAGAACTGTCGGGTTTCTCTTTCTTTGTAATTGGAAGTGTTGGAAGTGCCTCAGGATCAGATACTTTGCGGGTACAAGACATGAAAAGTGACATGAGAGATGTTCCATCTCCAATGGAGTGGTGGACTCGGAGAACGGCTACAGATTCAGCGTCAGAGGTTTTGATGTTGAGGAGGTGGAGATCCCACATCGGCATTGACATACTGATTTTAGTTTTGCTCAGGTTAGAGACATAATCTTCAACGTACATATCAGGTGAGTCCACATTATGGTTCAGTGTACGGACTTTAACGTGGTTGTCCAAATCAACCTTTGTTCTAACCCATTTTATCGCCCCTCCATTTTTCTCATCTGCAACCTGTTCCATCAAATCTTGGTCACTAATGAATAGATAAGAAATATCAAACTTTGTCTCCACGAAAGTTGTTGGATTATTTGTAAACCTAAAAGAACATAATAATAATAACTTACCTGCAAACTATAGAAACGAGGATGCGTCAGCAAAGTATGCACCAAGTTTGCTTTAATAACTTCGGGATTGATTTGGGTCTTAAAGCAGATGATGACAATGATGTACACATTGGAGTCAGATTCATGAAACATACGAGCCATTGGACTCAAAGGTTGCTCTTCTTCGGTACTGCCTGTAATATTTTCAACATCTTTTGTTATTTGAATTGGGTCGGTGGCTTGCTTCCTCATTGGTTAATCTTTGAGAATACTGGGCAAATAATCTACTAGGCTTAAGTGCACGGCTATGCTGCTTTTCTTTATGTCTGTATTTTGGTATCAACACTCCATGAACGTGCGCCTTTTTATAGAATATCAAACAAACGTGTTTCTCATGTTGCGTCTTAATTCTTCAGTCAAGAGTATCATTATCAATTAATCATGCCTCAACAATTTTGCTTTTTCTTGCTATAGGTTCATGAGGCTTGGCGTTATACCAATTGGAAGTAGTTGAGCTCTATTAATTGTATTTGATATTTAGCTTTCTCGAGGGGATGAAAAAATAATGGTAAGTGTATTTTGAAGTCCTCCAAATATAAAGTACAAAAATTTGTGTAGTGATGTCGGGAGGTATATGGCAAATCCACTTTATTAGTATAGTATAAAATTATTTTAAATTTTTTTAATTATAATATTTTATTTAATTAATTTTTTTCTAATGTTTTTATAATTTTTTTAAAATCATTCTTCATTATAAATTGATTTTAAAATTAAAAATTATAATAATTTTAAGTATAATATTAATTAAAAATTAAAAAATATATAATTTTTATAATATTGTATTCCAAAAAATAAAGACCTAAAAAGAAATGAAGTGTAAAATTTAAAAATAAAAAAATTATAAAAAAATCATAAAAATATCATTATATAAAATTACAAAAATATCCCTAGAAATTACTGTTAAAATAAACAGTAAACTCATTAAATGAACAATAAATTACTATTCAAATAAACAGTAATTCATTATTCAAAATTACAGTTAAAATCACTATTCATTTTATCCATATTAGTTTTTAGTTAAATTTTGAGATATACGGTCTACATATGAGACAGTAGAGAGAGAAAGTTGGTTCTCTTTCAAATTATGAATGTATTCAAGTTATTAGACTTATTTTACTAGAGTGAGTTTTTTTATATAGTATAAATAATGAGGGTAAAACATATATATATATATATATATGCATGTATGTATGTATATTAAAGGGGCGGGCTAAGTGGCTATAAAGCTTCGAGGAAGATGGCCCATCATTCTGAGAATGTTTATCTTTGATAGGTTTTCTAGAGGAGGTTAAATTTCATACATAATTAATTGTTTTTTTTTCTTAAATGAAATTCACTTAGTTTAAGGCAAGATGATGTTCTGGTATGATATAATTTGAGTCGGTTGGATCTTTAGAGATATCATTATTATCAATTTTCCAAGGAACATACTCCTGGAGTCGTGAAAATTTCTGAAATAATGAGATTTTTTAAAGAGCGAGTTCTTGGAAAATGAAAATTTTCAAAGAAATAAACTCTCCAAAAAACAAACCAAACCAATTTTATTTATTTATTATTATTATTTTTTTTTTGAGTTGAAAACCAAATCGAATCAGTTCGATTCGATTCAGTTTTTCGATTTAAATTAATTTGTATTACTCGAGCTCATCACTTGACTCCTAAAATCGAGATTGACCTCCTGTACAGAAGTATCAAACTTAAACACTTGTATCCTTTTGAAAACTGTACGATTTTTTAATTTTTCATGGCTTTGACGCACGTGATGCTATGGGGGAGTCACATCATATAGATGTAATGAATTCACTGAACATGCTAAGGAGTCAATATCATACAGATAAAATGAATTTAAACACCATGGTGTTGGTTCAGTGGTTAGGTTAATTAATTATTATGTTTCGGCCGGGAAGAAAATCAAAGATAAATAATTGATGGAGTAGTGTTAAGTTTGTACCAAAATTATAAATAAAATGTTTCATTATTATTATTATTATTATTTACATATATACGTAACTGTGTCATGTTGCAATTTTTTGGGTATTTGATAATTGATATTATTATGTTTTTACAAATAAAAAAATTAAAAGAGAGTATATTTAGTCACTCCATAGGATTAATTCAAAAGGTAAGGTATACCATACCTTTCTATATAAGAGCACAAGAGTTTATGATCATAAGATAGATATTGTTTACGTCGTTAATAGTCTTTTCGAGTTGGGTTAATTTATAAAATAGGTCTTTTTAATTTTAAAAAATGAATTAAAATAATTCTTTTGTTTTTGAAAACTAATTAATTACTACTTTCATCGTCAATCTTTCCATTTTCACTTTTTTTTTATTTCATAAAATAAAAAATCAAAATAAATTAAAAAAATAAAGAAATTAAGTTACAAATAGATTTAAAAATATCATAATTAATTAATTAATTAATTTTTTAAAAACTAAAAGAATTATTTAATTCGTTTTGGAAAAAGTAGAGAGACTAATTTATAGATTACTCTATCTTTCATGAATCTTTTCACAAATAAATAAATAAATAAATAAATAAGGAAGTGTGAGTGGTCTATTCACGGGAATAATTTTACAATACTCTCAAAATAATTACCAACACTTATTTCATAGATCCACTTTGACAACGTAAAAAAATCATCAAATAGTGACGAAAATTAGCTACGAAGTTAATCCGTTGCTAAATAATAAGCAAATAATAATAGAATAGTGTCCGTTGGAACCGGTGATGGAATAACGATAGATTAATAATGGTTTATCGAGTGATGGACACTAATTTATCGCTAAATTTGACAACAAAAATCTTTACGGGAGTTTCGAGACGAGTTTAGTGATGAATTTGCTATGAAAAATAGCTATTGAATTGCTAATCCGTCACTATTTTCAATCTTTGGATTTAATGACGAAAAATTCGTTACTAAAAGAAATATCCTTTGCAATTTGAAGTCGAAAAGTTCGCCATTAAAGATGAAAAATTGAGAAAATTTTTTAAAAGTTAAAACCGTCCAATTAGCAAAAGACACTTACATCCATCGCTATATGTAAAAAATGAGCTACCAACTATAGTAAATTAGCCATCTATTTTGAGACGGATTAGAGACGGATCAACAAAGAGATCATGTCCGTCCCTATTTTGCAATTCCTAATTAAACACCCTTCATCTTTCTCCTATCCCATTTTCTTCTCCCTCTCTTTCTCCGGCCAATAGCCGCCAATCTACCTCCTTCCAAACCACTACCAAACTTCACTACTCCACTTTCAATCAATTCATACTAACTCCAAGCTCTTTTCTCCACCAAAAAAAAAAAAAAAAAAAAAACTTCATTTTTTCTTCCCCCATCTTTGTGTAAGTCCAACCGAATTAGGTAAGTGTTTTCTCTCTTTTATTTTCTTAATTAAAGTTAGTAATTTATTATAATTATTAGGTTAATTTTAAGTTTAATTGCTTGGTTTATAATTTCGTATATATTTAATTGTTATTTTGTTGATTTATTTCTTAAATTGTTAATTTTTGTTAATTGATAAGTTAATTTTTTGATTAATTTGTTAAATTATTAAATTTTGTTAATTATTAGATAGATTTTTTAATTAATTGTTATTTCAATTTAATCAAAATTGATTTTTAATTAATTAATTTTATTTTATTTTTTGTTAATTAATTAGGTTAATTTTGTTTAATTTGTTGAATTTTAATCTTATTTATATTAGAAATTGTTAATTAATTATTATTTTGAATTTAATTTGTGAGAGTTAGAATCAATTAAGTAAATTTATTTATGTTTAATTAATTAATTCGATTAATTTTATTTAATTGGTTGAATTTTAGTTCTATTTATATTAGAAATTATTAATTAATTGTTACTTTAAATTTAATTTGGCTAGAATTAGAATTAATTATGTTAATTTTATTTATTTTTAATTAATTAGGTTAATTTTGTTTAATTGGTTGAATTTTAACTTTATTTAAATTAGAAATTATTAATTAATTATTATTTTAAATTTAATTTTGTGAGAATTAGAATTAATTAAGTTAATTTTATTTATAATTAATTAATTAGGTTAATTTTGTTCAATTGGTTGAATATTAATTTTATTTGTATTAGAAATTGCTTTATAATTGTTATTTTAAATTAAATTTTGTTAGAGTTAGAATTAATTACGTTAATTTAATTTGCATTTAATTAATTAATTACTTAATTAGGTTAATTTTATTTAATTTTTTGAATTTTAACTTTATTTATATTAGAAATTATTAATTAATTATTATTTTAAATTTAATTTGGTTAGAATTAGAATTAATTAAGTTCATTTGATTTATATTTAATTAATTAGCTTAATTTTTTTAATTGGTTGAATTATAATTTTATTTTTATTAAAAATTTTAACTTATTGTTATTTTAAACTTAATTAGGTTAGAATTAGAATTAATTAAGTTAATTTGATTTATAATTAATTAATTAATTAAGTTAATGTTGTTTAATTGATTGAATTATAATTTTATTTATATTAAAAATTATTAATGTATGGTTATTTAAAACTTAATTAGGTTAGAATTAGAATTAATTAGTTTAATTATTTTTATATAATTATTAAAGTATGTCGAGATACGTTATAGCTTATTGAACTCGATAGGTCGAAGACCCCTATAAATTGACAAGAAAGAAGGTTGGTTCAATGCTTTGCGATGGAGTTTGAAGAATGAGTTTGAGATTTAATTTCGACGGAGTATCTAAGATAATTGCTAGTCTCGATATGCATAAATTGATCGTTGGTTAATTTAATTCTAATATTTATATGATCATATGGAGTATCCGTTAATTGGGAAAGTGCAATTTATAGGAGAGACTCTATCAAAATTTATATAATTTATAATATATTTTCAATCAAATTGTTATTCATTTATTAAACTGTTTCATGTGTTATTCTTGAGTTATGCCTCATGAATTAGTCAAATTTGGTCGTAAGGTAGTTGTCATGTTTCTAATGTTGATCGTACAACCGATAGTGGTGATGTACGTGGACATGGAACAGCTAGTGTAAGTCTAAGGCTGCATGCTTGATAGTAGTGTTGACACGTCCGCATCCCTTTAGCAATGCCCTTGCAACTTATGCCCTCGCCGAGTAGTGCCCTCTGTTGTGGATGACTCCACTATTGTTTCCTCGGCTTTAAGAAACTTTATTGGATC